AAACCAACCAAGAGGCGCCTTTAACCCACGACAGCCGCTGTCCCCTCTTTCGGCCATCACCTTTCTACTAGCATGATATTCGTGTCCCGCAAGCATTTAGCATAGCATCATCAAGTCAGTTCCGCCTCCCTCCCCACCCAGGTATACCCCTCACATTTTCCGCTTTTGGCGTAACTAATTTTTCTCCTGTGTTTTCTTGGCTTTTCCATAGCTTTTTTTTCGGCTGCTTTGCTTTTGCATTATGCATTTTCAGGGCAAAAATGAGCAGAGCCGGGGACTTCAACCATTGTTCCCCTGTGCCGAGCAATGTTTACGCTTGCTACATTTACTTTGCATGGCAGCAACCCACACCATCTATGCCCATCCCAATCCATCCCATTCCATTCCATTCCATCCCGTTCCATCCCTTCCCAGTTCCCGGAATCCCAGTCCTACGAGTGGGTAATGCCAATTTGGTGCACTCCACTTGCTCTGCTCGGATGGCTCGCAGGCGTTGGCTTCTACGGTTGCCGTTGCCTTTGCTTTTCGCCTTGGTTTAGCTTTGCCGGGCTGGATGAAGCTACATGCACTTGAAAAAAAAACTATAATTCATTATAATATCTTAAATTAATATATAAATAAACTAATTTTAAGATTTTTACGGTGAAATTTCTTTCCCATTTTCTATTTTTTATCCTTTATAACCTATAAAAAAGACAATCAAACTTTTCTTCATAAACAGAAGTCTCATTTTCATAAAAATAATAAAAACATAACTTAAATAAAATCCCCTAAAAAATATATATATTTAAAAATATTTAAATTTTTTCTTAAAAATTCATCATAGTGTGTCTCCACTCTATCCTGCAAAGACCACTTCCTCTGCTTGGAACTTTCGACAAGCTGAGTTAACTTCATAGTTTTGTGCCCCAAAGCAAATTGAGTGATTATCAGTTTGGCTTACCTGAAGCTTTTCTCGACGAGAAGAGTCGCTTTCTGTGATTAAAGGGGGGTTGGGGTTTACCCCCACCTAAAAATGCGTGTGGGTAAATCTTCTTGGCTACGCTTTAATTATGGAATCGCTTGTCTGAGCTGGAAGCTACCACAACGAACCGAAGCTCACTTTGCCGGCTGTTCAACTTTTATTTTTTGACAAACTCACTTTGCATATTAATTGAATTCGTTATAGTTATGGCTAGCAAACTTACCACTGGGAAATGGTGATGCCAACGGATGATAAATGATTTTAAGGCTAAGGTCAGGTCATCTCAAGAGAAGAAAATAAATTAAAAAGTCAGAAAAATGAACTTCTAAAAGAGGTAAACATTAAATTTTTATATAAAATTCCAAACGAATATTATTTGTTTCTGTTTTTTCTAAGTTTCTTCCTCAATAACTTAACACATTTTGAAGGAAAAACTCAAACATTCTAACCGCTTAAATATGAACAAATATTTTCTGCAAACTTTCTAGCCGATGAAAAGGATTTGAGTAAGTAATTGATAGCATTTTGATATACGTTTGTAACCCAAATAAATGAATAAAAAGCCAGCCTTAAAACACTCTTTCTATTGCCAAAAGAAATCCTTTTAAGCATTTCACTCCAATTTACTCCAAACGAGAGCAAAAATGGGAAATTCATTCACTAAACTCTCTATTTCCTGCTGCTTTGATATTCATATCATCTTCATGCATTGCCACCACCGACCACAGCATAAACAAAACCCAATTATTATTTTATCAACAGCAAGAAGTGAACCTCAAGAAGGCGGCAAAAACTCTGCTCAGGCAAACCTCAAATAGAAATACATTTCGAGTTTCGAGCATGAAATGCTTGGCAAATAGCTGAAGAAGGTCTTCAGCACAAATTAAAACCATAAAATATTTGCAATCACAACGAGTGAGAGAGAGGACAACAGCCAGCGAAAGGGCAAATAACTAAATGGAAAAATGGAAAACTAAAGCCAAATACTAAATTCCCAATGGAGTGGGCAAAAGCCATGAAGTGCAAGCCAGTTGCATTTAAGAAAATTAAAGTACCTGGCTAAGGGAAGTTTCTTTCTCTGGATCCTGGGTTGAGGCTTGGACTGAGTCCTTGGTACACCAACTCCTTTCCCTGTCGATCCTCTTGGCCACTTTCAATGCCGCTCCACAACAACTTAACAACTTCTGCCCCCAAGGAAAGTCGAGAGTCGAGGAGAAAGAACCACACGGATGGGTTCATATTTATGTTTTCGTAGCTCGCAGGCAGACTTCGAGTTTCAGGTTAGCGCTGAATGAGTTCGCCAGCTTCTTTATTTTACCGTGGATTTATGGTGCCTGTAAAGCAGGGTATGCTAAGAAGATGCTTTATGCTTAATGCTTTTATGAGAAATATTTAAAATTCTATTAATTTTATTATACATTTTCCTTCTAAAGTAACAATTTGTAAACCAATTTTATAGGAATTCTTGTTTAAGCCAAAAAACACAATACAAATATCAGTACAAAGTACTCCTTTTTCTTGACCATCTTACTTATTAGCCCACACTTTCAAAGTGCTTTTTTGCCACTTATGATTCACCACAAAAAGTGAAAAACTCACAGAATAGGGAACTAATAACTCCATAGCTGGTATCTGGTAGCTGGAAATCGCGGCAAAAAGCGAAGCTGGCTCTTTTTAGCCCGTTGCCTTTGCTTTTTGTCAATTCCACATGCAAGACGTTTTCATTGCCAACTGCAGACTGGAATTACTCCTGCGGGGCAAATATAGCCGAGAATGTAGCTAGGAACGTGCACAAGGATCCCGGATCCGTTGGGATGGACGGATTCCAAATGCATCCTGCATTGGGTTGCCTGATAAAAGGAGCGATACACGAGCAAACACTGCGACCAAACAAAAACAAACAAACCACAGCCGCAGCAGCAGAGATATTCAATGGAGCGGAGAACGGGAAAAGGATGTGCGGTGGTGAGATAGGAACGTGACTGAGAAGGGGGGACTAGGGAAAAGGATTCCCTTTCGAATGCGTAGTTGGGGATGGGAGACATAAGGCTGTAAGGTTAGGTATTCCGATAGCTTATCACCTACCAAAATTCACACTCTGCATCTTCTGCTAACTCTTAGAACTTCCACAAAGTCAAGCACCAAGTTTAAGTGTTTTTCATTCTTTATATTAAGTTTTTCCCAGTGTAAGACTGAGACTGCCTGGCCCTTACTTCACGCTTTCATCTCGAACTGCTGTTATCCGGCATGCGCCTCACATGAAAACTCGAGCAAGTCATCAGAATTCATAGTCTGTCTTTTTTTTTTGTATATCTTGCAGAAAAGCCCCTCCTGCAGTCGGCACGGCTACTGCACGGTTGCAATTGCAAGTTGCTGCTGCGTCAAATGCAAAATGTGATTTAATGCCCTTTGGTGCCGCATGCTAATGAGGCAAGGAAAAGTTACTTCGTTCTGCCTGCGTTGGCAACTTTTTCCTGGCACGTGCCTGGAACCAAGTCCGATTCTAGGTCCAAACTTGGCTCAGAAAATGCGGGTCACCCCAGCACTGGGCACTGTGACTGGAATATATGTATTTAAAATATGTAGTAACATGCTAAATAGTTTCCCCTTCGACTTGAGTTATGATCTCGCCTGCATTTGCTAATTGTGTAGCCTGAAAACTGAAAAGTGGAGTCAAGTAGGGTGTGGCTAGTGGGGGTTTAAGGGGGACGTGACCAAAAGAGCTCTTTTTTCGGGATTGAAGTTACATTTGGTGGAATGTGTGAAAATAATCGATGACTAGACTTTCCCATATCAATTTTATCTGTGAGATAAGCCATAGTGCAACCTAATCTAAAAATATATCTTGTTTATCACATTTTTCTGAATAAAAGTCTTAACCTACTACTCGATAGGAACAATGTTGCTTAGGTACATTTCCTTTTCACTAGGAAGCTCTTTCCTAAACACTTAATCCACGCAGTTTACTACTTCCGCAGAAGTTATCTTCCTCTTAGCCTCGTTTTCCCAATTGTAACGAACTTTTCCTTTAATTGCTCCAACAGACTGGTAAAACTGTGCAGGAAAAACTGCCGCTTATCGTTTGATTTTCATTGCGAGTGCTCAGAACTTGGCCGTTGAAGTTTTTGGTTTAGTTAGAATTGCACCGCAGCGAACAATGAGAGCGGTGCTTGAGATCTCAGCAAACTCAAACTGAAAGGATGTACTTAGAAAAAAAAAGTCAATGAAGTATTAAGTTATTTTTGAATATTAATTAATATTTTTGTGGCCATAAAGTATCATAAGAATAAAAGATTTTTGGCAAATTTGAAACTAATTTATCATCTTTTTCGGAGACTTTATTAACTTAAACAAAAACGGAAGACTAGTCTTGACTTTTAGGACTTAAAAGTTATAACCAAAAACATTTCTAATATCTGTACTTCCAAACTTTCTTTTTATCTCTGCAAATTTCCCCCCTTTCCCCTCTCTAGAGTGGACCACAATTAAGCGCAGGCCAAGAGCAGCTCATTACAGGCAAAAGGGAGAAGAGAAAAGAGCGCCACTTGAAGGATTCTTTCAAACTTAACCGCTCACGCCCATTCACTCCGATCTCTGTTGGGTTGAAGGTGGGTTGGTGGGTGGTAAGGTTATAGTGGGTTATAGGAGGAGGCGTGGCTGCTGTCTGTCTCCATTTGTTGACGCCCTGTCAAAGTTGCCTGCTCGGCTGACAAACATTGTCAACGCCCTTGGCCAACGTCATCATCAATGTCAGTGGCAACACCACCGCCCCTCCCCACCAGGCGGTAACCAAACCCCCCCCACGGGACATCACTCAAGTTGAGATGGAAGTTTTCCTTTTCTTTTTTTTTTTTTCGTTTGCTTATGTGTCTGACAGTCGGGAGAGCCGCGATTATTTTGCTCTCCCTCCGAGAAGAAGATGGCCATCAATTTCCATAAGTTGTCATAAAAACGGAATGTTGCCACATCGTGTACTATATCTATATGGGGTTTGATGGCCCATTAGGGCAACCAGGCGACAGTTTTAATGGGATTTGATTTAAATTTTATGCGCATTTGTCATTAAATATTAATATTACGCCAGCCAGCTGGTGGTGAATGTCGTAAATAAACGTAACAAGTTGGCAAAACAACAACGTAACAAGTTTAACATAATTGCTCTGCAAACTGTACAGTTTGAGAGCTTAATTATACATATATACAAAAAATATTATTGAAAACTGTTTTTAAATACATTACATGATAAGAATTATAAAAGTGACTTATTGTTAAAGCATTAAAAAAGATTACATTCTTTATTTCTCAAGAAGTATTGATTGGAAATTAGAAAGTCTGATTAGACTGATTAGAAGCTTTGATAGCTTTATAAAATCGTAGATATCGCCCAATCGTCATATTTGTTTTGCTTCTCTGCATTATCTGGTATGTCATAGTATTACTTATAAAAGATAGCAGCTATTTAACGGTTACCTGCAACTTATTAACATTTTCTTGTGTTTATCTAAAATGTAATCAATTCGAATTCGTTTGGTTACTTTGGTATTTTTTTTTTTAATTGATTTACAAATCATTTTTAGTTATTTTTCTTAATATTTTTAAGCTAGTTCAATTTCATTTGATATATAATACATATTTTTGTCCTCATCCTTATCTAACTTACTTCAGCTGTATAAATCGCTATGATAAGAGCCAAGTTAACTTCTTAACAAAGGGTAAGTTAAATTTTTCACTGCAGTTGACTTTCATAAGTTAAATAGGAAAGTTGGTAAAGTAAACATTTAATATGGCCGACAGTCAATAGTAAGTTAAAATTTTCTATGAAAATCACTTGTGTAAAACCTTTTTCAAGTTCAAAGCGAGGAAAACAGCTCCTGAAATCGGGACTTTTCTCAGATATATGCATTCGCATTGAAGGCACCAGCTTTCGTTGCCACAAAATCATCTTGGCCTGCGCCTCAGAATTCTTTGAAAAACTATTCCAAAATGATGGCCTAACAACGGGTGAAGTTACATTGGAGGAAACAACGCCGGAGATTTTTCAAATATTTCTGGATTTTATATACGATCCGGTGGACAACCAGGCCTTAGAAAGTCTAAGCCCAGAAGTCCTAATGTCCCTTATGAAGTGTGCAAATATGTGGCTAGCAGAGGATTTTGTCGATAAATGTGCTAGTATCCTAATAAGCCAAAGGGAACATATGCAACCGGAAACATTAATAAGCCTTTTTGCGGTGTCTTATGAAATGGATCATAAGCCATTAATGGTCCAGACCATTGAGGTATATAAATATTTTCATTCGTTTTAAACAAATTTCTATTAAGTAACATTTTTTTTACAGATCTTGAAAGATTCTTGGCGCAGTGCCATGGACGATCGGGCTACTGTGAAAATGAATATCGGCTGTTTTGTGGAATATTTTGAAAATACCTATAACGTATTTCGGCCGCGTAGGCGTTTTAAAATGATAGAAAACTGGGTAAAGGAAAACAATTATGTTAGAAATTCGCCATTGGATTGGAAGGCAATTACTGAAATTGTGAAAAGTATTCAATTTCAGGAATTATCGGTGGAGGAGTTCTACAATGGTCCAGGAAAATCGAATATTTTATCAGATTCGGAAAAGTTTGAAATTTTGTATAGAGTTGCACGGGCAGGATGCCATTGTATGAGTACTGTTAAGTCAGATCTAATGCTCGCTGATGCTGAAGATAAATAATATTTTGAATTTTATGCAATCATTGATGCTTAAACTAACATAAAATAAATAATTAATATATCTTACCATTATTCACTCAATACCATTACTCACCGGCTGTAAACTGATTAAATTCCCGTTTCTTATCCGAGTATAATAAAATTGATTAGATTACGCTGATAAGATTATATAAAGTTGTATTTAGCATTTAATTAATTAATTTTATATTATTATAGTAGTATATTATTACTCAAACCTGAATATCTTATATATTGAAAACATAAAACTGAGCTTCCAAAATAAAAGCATAAAACTCAAGGGCTATTGACTTTTTAAACCTAAAATATTAACTCGAATGAAATAAGTTACCTAAATAAGCCAAATAAAATATTCACAAGTTCCAAATATCTTTTTTTAGAAAAGCTAGGAGAAACATTTTTAAAAATTAAAAAAACTTGAAATTGAAATGGTTCTCCAACTGTAACAGTTTTAAATGCACTGAAGATTCGAATAATCTTCAAACCCTCACAAAAGGCAAACAGAATCTTTTTACCAATTAAAAATTTAAATAATTTCAAAACTGTAACAGTTTTAAATGTACTGAACATTATTCTACATTTTGACAGTGACTGCATGTTGAAAATTTTATACGTTTCCTGGCAATCCCCTTCGTTAATTTGAACTTTTAAAAACAAACATATGAAATCCGATGTATTAAGTTCGCTAAATTAGCCAAAGTTTCAAATATCTTTCAAACTTGAACAGTTTTAAATGCACTGAAGATTCAAATATTTTTCAAGCCCTCACAAAAGGCAAACAGAATCTTTTTAACAATTAAAAACACTTGAAATTACAATAGTTCCCAAACTTTGGTAGTTTTAGATGCGCTGGACATTGTTCTGCATTTTGTGAGGGACTGCCTGCTGAAAATTTATCACGTTTCCTGGCAATCCCCTTCATTTATTATGAAATATTTATTTCCACTCCCGGAGTATCGGAAATAAAGCCAATTTTAATTAGGATCCTCAATGACCACCCCGAAAACACCCTTTACAGTGATTTATCCACTCATTATTGGCTCTCAAAAATTATGCATTTAATATGTTCGTATTGCAAATTATAATATGCAAATTGCTGTTGCCTACTAACGTCTGTGGCTTGGCTCCCTATTCCCTCCCCCAAAACGAACCCCCTCACCGCCTTCGGTCATTCATATGGCAGGCACGTAATCGAAATGAGCACTGAAAAGGTTTCTCAATACATTGCCAGCTTAATTACGTTAATGTGAGCGAGGGGGGGGCCAATAGCTTTAATGCCAATTTTAACTAATTACCCAATATAATTGCACATCTACGCGTCGGTCAAATTCATAATAAATGTCGGTTAATTCGTGTTAATAATGATAGGAAAAACAAATCGATAAGGACATAGGAATAGGAGATAAGGAAAATTTATCACCAACAATTTTGGGGGAGAGGGAAAAGTGCATTGAGCTGTTCCGGCTACATTTTCCGCAAGTTTATCTGTCACAGCTTAAAATTAAATATGTCACCGAACGAGAAACCACACAAACTCAAGAGGTCTCACTCCCTTACCATTTGTATTCTTCTGCCGCCTCCAACTTGGCAATTTTCAAGTGACAATTTCCAGCACACGCCAACAAACCAAAGCTTCTTTACTACACTGGAAGCAAAAAATACTATAATTTTGTTTCTAAAACCTAACTTAAGCTTAACATTCTTTAAATTCCCTTGATTCTAAATACAATTTTCATCATAATTTAATCAATTTTTTCCAGTGTACTCCAGACTAAAATGCTATGCAATTTCGTTCTTTGATACGCGAGACAGCCACACAAAGAATTGTGGACTTATGGGGCGGTGTTGAGAAGGGTGTCTTAAGCCTTGAATGGGGGGTTTAAGGAGGCAAGTGGGAATGAAAATGGGTAAACGAAAGGAATGTCAGCAGGCGCACATATTTTTCACATCGATATGTTCCAAATATCTTTAGAATAGTCTCCACGGCACTCAAATGAATGTCGTTGTAAGTAGTCGCCTTGTCAGCGATGAGCAAAAGGAACCGCAAATGTAAAGGAGTTTTTTTTGGCCTAAATGTATTATTTTTTTATTGTTTTTATTCAACTTTTAATTTACCTGAATTTTATTTATTTCATTAAAGTTGAATTTTTAAAAAATATTGCCTACTTTCCTGCGCCAGTGCCTTCAAAACTGATTAGTTTCCAGTAACCGAACGATATCCATTGCATTTTATTTTGAGTAACTCAATTTCTGAGCCAGTCCATCACTCGTCCGGACACTTTCATCTTTCGAATGTCACTGATAATGATGATGACTGACACTGTCGATGATGATGATGATTGTGCGATGACGATGATGAATCGCTGCCGTGACAAGCCCTCTAACCCCAAAATCCCCACTCCCCGGAGCAATTTCAATTTCGCCTGACATATAAATAACTTTGAATTTAGAAAAGAAATATTCACAGCAGTTGTTCGAATCGATGGAAAGTGGGTAAACATGTCTGTTGTGTACGAGTAATGTGCATTACATTTGGCTGCTGTGGAAAAGGAATTTCCTCGGCAAAAACGATGTGGAAGCTGATGGCAAAGTGGGTGGATAAGTTAGTTGAGTTTATTTTGATTGATTTCTGTTTGCCATTTGGGATTCAATGGCCCTGTTTGATATTTGTCTGTTCAGTGAGCTCTCATAGATGGGTCATTATAGGGTTAAGGGCAAACTTGATTGCCCAATAGCCTTGGGGTTGATAGTTTTTTGTATAAGAATTGATACGGAAATAGGTCAAAAGCCAGGAGGAGGAGATTGTAAGTGCCAAGCCAAAAAATATTCAACTTAAAGAAAAATTCATAAATAAATGGCATTGCCTTTGGTTACTTAAATAAAATATTTTAGGTAAAACAAAGTTAATTAATATGCGACAGACAGATGAGTCGTCATCATAAAAGTAATTTGCCATTCGATTATTGATTTGTTAACTCACACCTTTAGTCATTGTTTCAGTCAGAGTTAAACTCTTACCCCGAACTCAATCTGAAAATGGAAAACGTTTATCAAAATTGCAATAAGAAAATCCCTGCCGCTCGAAGCTCCCCCGCATCAACCATCCATCTCTATCGCCTGTCATTAAATTATGCATTTGCGCAATCACTTCCTAAAATATGCAAAGGATGTTGCAGGCGGGGTGTGCTGCAGGACATTCAGCACGTTCCGAGCCTCATTGCGATGTGGCAAGTTTCCCAGCTCTTCCACCGGGCGAAAGTTTGCCAAGGAGCTGCGTTGCGCTTGATTTGCGTTCATAGTTTTCGCCCAACCCCACCCATCTATAGCCTTACAGTCCTTATAGTAGCAAACCCACCACACCCCCAAGAGACACCTGCTATAGTGTCCTCGTTGTCATCGCTCACATGCCGGAAGTTGATAAAGTGCCTGGCAAGGCAAAGGAATTCCGCGGCATGTCGGCCCCCTCTTCTGCAGGCCCTTCGCTTTCCACCTGCCTGCGTGTCTTCATTAAAATATTACTCACATGCAGGCAAAGACGGAAATGCATTAAAGCCCCGGCTGCTTCCTTGCGATTATCCTTTATGCATATGCAACAGTAAAATCCGGCAAGCGACTCACTATCAGAATGAACAATCAAAATCCAAAACCCTAAGGCGGCCATTTTTGTTGTGCTTTCCGTCAAACGGTTTTTTTCCAAGAGGGAAATTATGATTGGAAAAGGTTTTTGGTTTAAAAAATATCTCTGATTGAGATAGAAGGGAAATTGTATGTTCTCATTGTTAAATTTAAAATAAGTATAAGTCTATAAGATAGAGTTTTACATTCATTATTTTAATAAGCTTAAAGGGCAAAGTTTCACGACTTCATAACTTAACTGACCGGAAAACTTCCTAAAAAACCCAACTTAGGCAACTCAAAAGAGTTTGCAAATATTAAAAATATTTTATACTTTTTTCAAAATATATTATTCTCACACAAGCCTATCGATAAAGTGACATCTTTCATGCAGGTCAGCTGCATGCTCTATCTGCAAACAGAGATTCGTTGTCCATAAATCACGCATACGCAACGTTGAACAGTAGCAGCGTTGACAGTTCATTAAATTCCGATGAATAGCAAATCGCGCACTCGATGCGTGCTAAATCTATATTTTTATGTGCTTTTCATTCGGATTTTGCTAAATTAATGAGCGCGTGAGATCTGCGAGCGTAGCGATAAGCGTTAATTATGCCACATAAATCAGGGATTCCGAATGGAGTTCCAGCCCAGTTTTCAGCCATGCAATCAGAATGAACGGAGCAAACAAGGCGAAAGGAATTTTCAAACCCAACAAATGGAACTTAGCTGAAGTGTGAAAGTGCTTAATCGGATGGAAAATGAAATAGTAATGGCGTATATGGTATATGGAAATCACTTGCTAATACCCACAAGGACTAAATTGTGCTTATTATTTTCTTTATGAGCAAACAGAGCTGTTAACAATTGCAAAATGTTTTCTAATAACGAACTACACGGCGTATACGCAACCTAATTGATTTCTCAATGCAAATTTCCAGCGTTAAGCTTCTTTGGCCACAAGCTGAGGCTGGTAGGGAGAAGGGAAATTGTATGCTCTGATTGCAGACAAATATGTTCAATATAATTGTGGAATAATTTCAATTAAAGTAATGAAACATGCATGCAGAAGGGTCCTCCAACAGAGATTCCAAATTCCACTGTCTCTCTCTCTCTCTCTGTGTGTGTGTGTGAGTGCCTCTTTGTCACTCTGCACCCCGCAAAACTCAATTATGTATGCAATTTGCATTTGTCTGGGGCAAGAAGATACATCGAAAGAAATTTCTAGAAGGTTTATGTATTTTAAGCAAAAAGTAATCAGTCTTATAAGAATATAAATGATCTTTCTTCTTTAACTTCCTTTGATATTTCAAATTTTCTTCATGTTTTCAAATAACATTTTGGTCTCAATGTAATATTCCTTTCGTT